GAAAGAGCGAGAGAGAATAGGGAGGGAGGGAAAAACAAAGAAGAAAAGGGTGTTTGGGTCGCGAGAAAATTTATATGTAGAAAGAAAGAGATTGAAACTTGGTTTGTAGCCGTTCTTTGGAGTTTGGAGTTGGGTACCGCCGTGATTCCGTTACCTGACGGAGACGTCGGTGGTTCTGTTCTGTGAAACTTGGGTAGATGGGCGCCACGTGAGCGGTTTGAGGTCCGGCAATGTATACGTGGCGGTTGATGAAGTGGTTGGTCATGTTGATATTTGATGCACCCCCGCCCCGTACTACTTGTGCCACACGATCAAATTTGTAGGCAAAACTTTTTTTACAACCTAAGATTTTTGTTTTTGTTAAGGATAAGAGACTATATATTTTCAACCCAAGATTGAAGAAAAGGCAAACAAAGAGTCACAATGGGATATGGTGTTCACAACCAATGTATAAGAGCATGCTCGCAGAGTTGGGATTCGTTGTATCTAACTATTGGGCGCTTCATGTTAATTACATTGGCGCGGTAGTAATTTTACAAATAAATTATCATCGCTTTCATCTGACGGACGCGAAGCACTCGGCACTCAAATCTCAATCCAACAACTCCTAGCCACTGTGGACACGTTCTCACATTTAAAATTGATCAATTTCATAAGACGATTACATTTATTTCATCGATACAAGTGATAAAGATCCAATATAAACTATGACTTAGTTGAAAATGAGAGATAATGGGTTTGGAAACTAAATGATTTCGTAGGTATAAAATTCGATCACCACTTAATTCTCTTTTTTATGTTGATGAATCAAATTGGACTAAACCAAAAGAATGATGGTTGATATTCCTTCATTGGTTAAGTCTCATATTACAAATGAAATGTTCTATTTTTATAATGCATGAACCTAACTGAATATTTTTATGCACCATTAGTTGGTGGTCATTGGAAGGTTAAATTTTTGTATGGAAAATTGTTGGCAAAAAGCCTTGGTGGGGGACAATTGGGAGGGGAAGTTGAACCATTTCCCCAAGTTGGGGATGGGAAAGTGGAGGGGGACAAACTTGCAAAACCACCACCAAACTTTTCTTCCCCCACTCCTTGGCAAGTCAATAACAGAAATTATGAGGACGAATTTGTGATTTGGGAAGGGGAGGAGGACCTAATGGGAAGAATAATAACACAGCATATACGTTGGTGGTGGCACAAACCAACAGTGAGAGGGGTTTTAAGGAATATTCTGATGGTATTTTTGGCTACCTAGCTTTCGTGATGCCATTGGAGACCTCAGAATATGCTACAAAAACAAGAGTTCATCGATTAGATTCCTAATTATGCCCCAAATAGATTAATAATCCCCCACTTGTACTTCAAATAGTAGATTAATTAGGAGCTTGTGTGTGTCATATTTAGTCTCTGTTGCGCTTAATCATTGTCAGCATCTCGAGTTTCGTTCGTTTTATGATTCTCATATTCCATCCTATATTAAAACTAGCCTAGGCCCCGGCCATTAGCCGGAGGAAAGTGAGGTGTGAAATTTGATAATGTAATGGGGTGTATGGCTTATTGTTGTATAGTTTTTTTCTTTTTTTTGGGAAACAATATTGTTTCCGGTAATATGGTGAGGTGGAGTAAGTTTTATAGAAACCGAATTCCAGAAAATCGAATAAAAAATCGCCTATCCCGTCGGTTTTCGGGAAATGAGCATCTCACAATCGTTGCTAGCTTTTACTCGGCTCGTTGGCCGATTAATTTGCTTTATAAAACTTTCATCTTGTCATCATTGTGCTTTCTGGTTTTTTGCCAAGCCATGATAAAATCTAAAGAAATCAAGAATGAACAACACGATTTGGGATAGGAACCACCGTTCATGTATCCCTAGAAAATGGTGATAAACGCGAACTCACCTGCCAAACTGGTTTGGATTGAGATTTTTATCGGGTATCAGGGAACCATGTGATTATAAATTAGACTTGATCAAAACGGACCAAAACTTGAAATTCAGCCTATTTGACCGACCCATGCCAAACTCTAATTATTCTTTATTTTTAAACTTTCTATTTGAAAATAAAAAATAAAGAAAGAAAAGAGATGACTGCAATTCGCCATTTGCACATCACTGATTCGGGAATAAAACTATACAATTTCGAAAGGAAACTGAAAAAATTTAGGATCGTTTTAATGTTGAAAATAACCAAGTAGATCTTTCTGTTTAGTTTTTTACTAACGAATACCAAACGATTCCCTATAATTTAATCATTATGATATCAAATAATTACATAAAATATATTTGAAATGATAAAAAATGGACTAATTGGGTTGTCGAGGTTGAACCATTGAATAACTTTAAAATACATTATATTTTAGCCACTAAGATATGAAATAATAGCATAATATATATTATGCTAGAGAAAATAGCTTGTTTTAGAATGACAAACCCATAATGTTCATTTGTTTTACTTGATGGGCAAATCCTGTGTAGGTCAGACCCATTCAACTCTTTTATTTTATGATTAGCGGTTAGCCCATTAGAATCCATGCATTAGTTTATTGTTAATTTTTTTTTCTTTTTAGCAATAAAAAGGAGTATTGTTTTTGCCTTTTCATATATATTTTACCACCATAGAGAAATAAAAGGACTTAAAGGAAAAAATTGACACTCCTGGACCCGTTTAAATCCGCATGTGTACGGTAAGTTGCCCCGTTCCACAGAGGAAAAAGAAAAAAAATTGACACTCCCTATTCTACCCTTCCTACAAACGCTCATGGAGCAGGGAATTTGAAATGGGGGAAGGAGTTTTTTTTTCTCAGCGATTATATGTTTTAATTTAAAAAGATACAACAAATGTACTTAGTGTGATTGGTTATGATCTTTGCTTTTCTTTAAAGTGGTCATGGTTCGAATCCTAGTAAGTGTCTTTTTAATGAATAAAAAAACGTAATTGTGAAGACCAAAACGTCCTTCCTACTTTCACTCTGGATGCAGAAAATTTGAAATGGGGCTTCAAGTTTTCTCGTTTGGCTTTTATTTACTATGTAGATTAAAAAAAAAACCCAAACCCCATTGGTAGTATAATAGTATAAGGCAAAAGCTCACTTAACACAAATTGGTTTTGAGATTACAAATATTTTTTTCGTTGACAATGTAACTTCCTATTTGTTATTTGCAGTGGCGGATCCATAAATTTTTTATAGCGGTGTCATCTTCTAAAAATTAAATTTAATTAAATAATTCATAAATAAAATAATATCCGACTAGTGCAAATATATGATATTAGACAATAATTCACGAACTGATCGCATATTCGATTTCTGACCTTGTTCCTGATGTAACTCAAAGTTGAAAGACTCTTTCAACTCTTGCAGTATACCTATAAAATCAATTCAAATTAAGGATAGCTCGAATGAGTTTAATTGTTAGGTTTTGAAAATAATTGGGAATAAAGAATAGTGTTTTTACTATTACATAGTGTTTAAAATAGAATAATAAATGAGTTGACAACCTACAGAATATGTTTAGTAATAGTAGTGTCCGAGGTTTGAGTAACACAGAGTACTATATACTGAAATAGTTAATTATGATGAATATTATATACTGGTGATTAATACTTGGACCTTAGCTTGAACATTGCATCATGCTGATAAAAATTATTTCATTAATTACATTATTAAAATAAGGGGTTGTATGGAAGTTTTGATTGTTTTTTTAGATTGTTAAAATAAATACATTTTTCATAATACAATACATATATTTTTTTATTTATGTTCATACACAATCGTGAATTATTTGTTTGATTTGACTAAACTATCATGCAAATTGAATGATTAAACAATTTTGAATTTTAGCAGACTGTCGAGATAATTTATATCGGTGTTTGTCAAGTTTATTTTTCTTAAAATGTATGGTACCAGTGTTCTTATGTCGTCATTGGACATATCATTCAACACTTCAATTCAATGCGCAATATTCAAACCAATGATATTTGTGTTGAGATTTTAATATTACCCTTCATTTATAAGTTAGAAAAAATTCTAAATTAATTATTAAAATATGAAAGTAGAAGTATCAAACACCACAAAATACTTGCAGGAGACTTAGTGGGCTAACCGGGTAAAATACCACGGGTACCACTTAAATTTGAGAATTGGGGTAAGCATACCACTTATTAAGTTTGAATAGAGCGTCGGGTACCACTAAACTCTATTATATGTGCACCCGGTACCACTTAAGTTTACTGTTAAGTGCATTCCGTTAAAGTTGACAGAATATTCTCTGAATATTCCCTTTCCTAAATTTCATAATTGGTTCTTCTACTTTTCTTATTGTAAAAAAAAAAACATTTGGACTTATAAAATATATCATTTTTTATTGTTTAATTATAATCCTCTTTTAAATACTTGACACCAAACTAATTTTTGAGTAAAATTTTTAGAATCAATTATCATTATAATTATTTTCAATTATCATTATGTGTTCTAATAATAAAATTATTCCATGAATGTTGTAGCTTTTAAAGTCATATTTTCTTTTCTACATTTTTTACCGAATATTGTAGATTTTATATTTTGTTTATTACTTGGTTACTTTTCATCTCTTTTCGTTCTAAATTTGTTTCAATTATTGATAAAAATTAATTAGTCATTCTAGTAATAATATGTTTAGATGGTTTTCTAATTATTATATTAGATAAAACTTGTTGAAATATAGTTTTGAATGTTTTTAAAAGTTTTGGGTATAAAAAGTAATTAAAATTTTGGGTTGGATGGAAAAGTAATTATTAGTGTTTGTGACAAGAGAAGGTTAATGTATATAAATAAATATATATTGCAAGCACCGATCAGCAAAGCTGGCCACATGACTTCCTTTCCCAACTAGTCATTACTTCGTTAATTTGGCCACGATGTAACTATAAGAATGAATTTGAGAGTCAAGTAATCGTACAAGAAGCTTTTGGTCAAATTTCATTGTTTAAGAGTGCAAGCTTTTAAGTGTGCGAATTAGCCATTAAACTAAAAATTTATGTCTATGATGATTTGTAAGTCACAATGAGTCGAACAAAACGGTTGATTGATAAGTGGTTGCGGTCAACCGATTACACCAATGTGATCATTCTAATGGAAGATTGTAGTTGACATTTAACCTGAACTGGTTGATCAAGCTTAAGGGACTCATAAACAGAACGATCGACCTTTCCAACAAAGTGGTTGACTATATCAATAAGAGGTCGGTCATTCTAGAGAATAGGCCGGCCACACGGAACAACACTCGACCCTCAAATTTAACAAACCATCTTCTTGTTCGGTTAAAATGATATAGGTTTTACTGACCTTGTGCAAGAACCATCTTTGCACCGGTAAAACCACCTACCAATTTGGATCCAGTATCTAGTATTCCGGTCTGACCCACAGGTACAATAGTGTTTATTAAACACAGAGACGTTACAAATCCAGATGAGAAAACATTACAAATAATGTTATTTACAAGTGACATTGAATTGCCTTTCTCTCTCTCTCTCTCAACAGTATTTCGTAAACCTGTTCGTTTGGGCTGAATCACCTGATCCGACTATCCAATTTTCCCTTGACTCCAGTTGGACAGCTCGGGAATTACATCATGGTGGAGACTGGAGAGGCAGAGAACTTGTATCCAAGCATGAGCGCTTTCTGCTCAACCAAGAAAGAAAGCTCAACAACCATGACGCAACCAAGCAACCAATGATTGACCTATCAAATTCAATTGGTTGTTCATTTCAGGTCAGGTAAAGGGTTTCCTTTCGATGAAAATGATGTATTGTATACCAAAAAGGAACAACAAATATGCTAGCTTAAATGTAGATCAATGGAGATGTGCTATAATAATTAACTGCAAAACAACCATAATAAATACAATGTAATCTTAGTTATACCGATAGAAACTCTAAACCGAAATACATTTCATATAGGTCGACTAATGGTTCAGTGTATTAGACCGAATCGGACTGGTTTGATCGTAGAAAGGTTCAATCCGGTTATGCTTCACATTTCTCCTCATCTTTGACTCGATTCTAGCATCATTTTGATATTTTCCATCATGTTAATCATGCCTAACCCATGTGAGGAAACAACAACGAACCATAAAGAAACTTTATTTTGCAACTGCAATATCATTTGGTTGAACCATTCTGTACCTAACTAAACTCACATCAGCAAATCATAGCATTGTAATAATCCTGATTACTGAACATTTCTAGTCCGCATCTATTTTGACATTCTGAAGGAACCATTTACCTTCTTTGTTCTTCACTCTTTTAGTCAATGCTCCAATTTCTACATTGACAGTGAACTTTAGCAAGAGAAGCCATATAGTCATCAGATCTGCAAATCGACACCAATTGTCAAAACTCTTTAGTTATTAAAAATCAAGTAAAAAGGTTAACATAAACAAACACTAGATGGTATTAGTTAACTACTTTTTCCCATATACAGACTTGCAAGCTGCAACCAGATGGTACTTAGCTGAATCTGCTTCTTTCTGCCAAAAAAGACACAAAGAAACTTCTTGTTTAAGAAAACATGTCAATGTCATGACAGAGGATTCACAAAGAGGAGTGTAAACCTGGCATTCATGGTAAAGTCCAGTGTATAGAGAGGCGTAGAAGTACTCATTCTCGCGGCCATTGGAAAATGCAGCTGCAAACTATGCACAAAGATGAACTTCAGCTAAAACATCCCTTCGAGCATATGTATACGAGTAAATGGATTTTGAACTTAACAATCCCCATTAGGATAACAATGATCAGAAACTATCAGACCGCACTATACTCTATGGATTGAACAATGTGTACCCCTAGTAGCCTAGTAGAGTCCACTAACGGATGAGAAAAATCCTTTCGTGCAAATACTTGCAAGTTAGTATACCCCGAATGAACAATGCCAAGTGGATAACTTGTGAAAACAGGATAGATGTTGAATACCTTCTCCGGATCACCACCATCTCTAAACATATTGTAAGCTTCTCTCATGACTGGCCGCGGATCTCTACCAACCTGCATTCAGCTACAAACCAGTTAAAACACATACGTCCGTCCATTGCTTCAGTAACTAAGAAAACAGCTACAAGATCAGAACAAAGCTGCTAGCTTAACTTAACATAGTCAAAGGTTAAAACCTCAGTTTATACACAAGATTTACCTCGAGAAATCGCTTCCTTGCCTCATCAACACCAAACAACTGAGCTTCACAAAGAAAGCACCAGATAGATTCCTCTGTGTCATTTGGGTTCATCGCAACATCAAGCCGGAATTGCTCTGCGCCTTCTTCGAACCTAATTGCATAAGATCGTATTCCACATTCAATTGTTTGCAAAAGTTTATTAACCCTTGTTCTCCGTTCTGCTCAATATTCCTATTTTCCTAGTTAACCAAACATAAGATAAAGAGGAACAATATTCAGCAAAAAATAATAAAGAGCAACAACTGAGCAATAAAGAGAAGTTAGTACCTGTCCAGATAGTAAAGAGATAATCCCCTTTGCCACATATCTGAAAAGAAACTCCCAATTCATCCACAAAGAAAGGGAGAAGAACCAATATCCATAAAGATTCAATCTTCCTGTCAATAAACCATACAAACAAATAGGAGATAGCTGCAATTTTGGTTCTCAGTATAGACCGGATCGACCTTTGGATCGAATCGAGAAGGTCAATGCATTGGCTCAGTTGCAATTCATTATGGGAATTATTTGTTTCAATTCAATGAGGACCTCTTAAGAACAAAATAGAATTAAACGGGTCGAATCAAAACTGGACGTAACCTTTTCGGATACATTCTCGATCCTCTTTTCCCCTTCATTATCTTTCTGATCCCTAACGGATCAAATATCCATTCGATTCTGGAGCGAAACAAACTATTGCCCACCCCCCAGAAACAAACGAATCATTCAAATTGTATCAGGAAGAAAAAATAATTGGACCTACATGCCTTCTGACGAGGATCCAACTCAATCGCCTTATCGAATTCCGGTAAGGAACCAACCACATCTCCCTTCACCAATAACCAAAACAAAGAGCAAGATTAGGAAACAAAGAAACTAAAAAAGAAGATTTCAACGGGAATTCACTGAGCTAAAACGTTGTCAAATTTACTTGTCGGAAGAGCAGCATTCCCCGACGGACGGCCAGAACAGCTTCCCTGGCTTTATCTCCGCCGGTTATCGCATCCCATATGCCGGAAACGGAAGGAAGAAACAACCTTCGAGTCAATTTAGGTAATGGGTAGTGGGTAACGCTGTGGATTCCGTAAGAAACCCAATGGCGGGATTCGCTTGATCTGAATAGGGTTCGTCTGGAAATGGGAAGTGCAGCGGTGATCGGCGGCGGGTAATTGGTCAGTGCGGCGGAGGATAACGGGAATTTGGTGACCCAGGTCGCCTCCATTGTTGCGAAAATGAAGGGAAATTTTGAACGCGTTGGAAAATTCGATTTCCCCTTCCGGCGGATTGTGGGAGTTTGGGGAGAAGATAAGGCGGCAAAAAAAAAAAAAGAACGGCGGGGAAGGCATTGGTGTTGTTGGGCTTGTATGGTCAGCTTGGGCCTATAATGAATAGCCAGAAGGAACCGGAATTGGGCTTCGACGAACGGGCCCAAACTGTAGAAGTTTAATTGGGTTACAGGTTTAGGGATGACGGGTAGGCCGATTATGGGCTTATGGTGGTTGATTGGTGATTTAAACTAACCTTTTTGGTTTATTGATATGGGAGGCTAATTTTGAATCACGATTTCATCACAAAATATATTATCGGACTTTTCGGTACAATCTCCGTTGCAGTTTAACTATTATTGGGTTCATTTTGACTGAAGAAGGTAGGAGGAAGGACGTTCGTAGGCCGTAGGCATTATCTCCAAAGAGCAAGTGGCATGGTTGGTGGGCAGTGGAATGGAATTCAATCCATTTGAAGCAAATTGGCCAAATTGGTAGCCGTAGCGACATCTCTCTGTCCTCTTTTGGAGACTTTCTTGCCCTTTTCCTTTCCGAGGAACAAGTGCTTATCTATGATGTCTTCGCTCATGCAAAACAAGGATTTTATATAGGATGTCTTGTAGGTGTCCCGCAATTTGCTACACAAAATCATATTTCATAGATATGACAGATGGCTACGTATAGATGAAACATCTTTATAATCTATTTCTTGAGAGTTAAATTTTTGAAGTATTCATAATTTAGAAAATTAAACTCCAATTCTCTAGATGGGCCCTATGTCGGTATGATACTTGAGAAGTTAAGTCTTCATGAGTACATATTTTATTGTATTAGTTAAAATAGAATCGTTTAACATCTATTTATGAAGCTATGATCGCTTAATCGCTTCTAAATTCGATACGTTCGAATGAATGTGATGGTAGGATTATTATCCATAATGAGCTAAATGTATCACTCTCTTTGATTAACTGAAGATGACACTACTGGAGGATTGTGTAGAAATTTCCTTTTCATTTCTTCCCTGCGAGTGGAACTCTTACAATAAATTAGACAAACTATTTCAGCAAACATTATTGATTATTGTCCTCTTCCCCTCTCTGCATTGAAATTTGAACACAGGCAAGGCAGGGCAGGCAGTTGAATAGTACTCCTTTTAGGCTTCATGCATGAATAACACGAAAAAAGTCAATCCTCACCTAATAGTACGTACACTACTCAAACCCTATTTCCCTATTTTATTAGCATGCATCTCACAATTCATAACGGTTCATTATTCCACTCCACTCCCTAACCAACTCCATCCAAATTCATGTCTTTAAAATTTGCACCAACCACTCATACCATATATATATATATATATATATATATATATGATTAAATATTGGAGATGTTGAATTCAACACGAAACCTCTCAATCAAAATTTTTGATATCGAGTCTATAACTAGTTCATAATCACAATAACGTAGATTTTAAGAACGTCAAAAATAAATCTTATATCATTCTCTTCCCATGTACTTCCCTGCCTTGTTTTTTGGAATCCATGTAGAAATGGCAGAAAAAGATTTGAATGGTTTGTCCAAACCCATCTTATAATTGGTTAAATAAGATTTGGGTGATTTTACTTTTTCGTTTTGGTTGAAATTGGACTCATAGAATTGGGTACTCAAAAGAAAATGAAGATCCAATTTTAATTTTTATCCAATTTTTTTCATAACACAGACAAAAAGATAGAACTCCGACATTAAAGATGCAATCGGATTGAAAATAGCTAATTAGATAGTTGATATTGTTTTCTGTGTGTACAATAATCTAGACTCAAATAAACTCATTTGAGTCGGAGCCAAATAGACCAATTATTGTCCAAATTCACACCCAAAGCGAAAATATTAAAAGTGCACACGAGTCCATTTAATTTGGATCCAACCAAATAATCACAATAGAATCAAATTATCTTACGAATTGACTCTTAGATGGTGCCTATATAGGGAAAAAAAAATGATCCCCTAATTTACATCGGTCGTCAATGGAGAACTAACAACGTGTCATGTCATGGAAATGGACATGGCCACGTTTAACAAAATAGATTCAATTTTATGTTTTATTTAATTGGTTATTGATGTTAATGTTATTGGTGGATGGGTAGCATAATATGATCATTACCAACCTTAATAATTAAGGTGATTAGCTTACTTTACTATTATTATTATATGTGTAGCTCGTTAGATAAGACTGCTGAGTGCTCATTATAAATAAATAAAAAAAGACTGCTGAGTGCTGACGCAGAAATTTGTTTGTGAAGACTGAAGAGACAGGAGAAAAAGTCAATATTTAAGACTATATATACAAAATCAGTCGACATAGATAAGATCTATAGCTTGACGTGGAAAAGACAAGATGCCGATAACTAATTACTATGGTCGCTTTTTTCAGGTAAAATCTATTCTTTGATTTCTTTCTATCTCAATAAATAACTAATATTAATCAATTGTTTGAAATACTTGTGGAATTCATGTCGAAATTTCATCTCAATTTGCTATAACCAATTTCAATTATGTAGAATTCAAAATTAATTCTTTTAAATACCAAACACAAAAAGGTTTTATTTTAAAATGAATTTGTCAAGTTTATGAAATTCATTCATACAAAATGGTATGTAAACGAATTAGATAATTAATTAATTCCCACGTGGATGAAAGATCAAATGAAGCATGGTTAACGATGCAGGTGCACGACTGATGGAAGAAATAATTGGCATTGAGTCGTGCTTGGACAGATACGGTACAAGCTTGTCTTAGGCTTGTTTATCTCGCATTGTACTCACCATGGTGAATCAGTTTTCTTGGAAATGGGTTAGGGTGATTACTAATTTTTTAGTAGTCACCGTGGCTACCAAAATCCAAACCCTTTATTAACTCTATTTCATCTCATTTTTAAGGCAAAATTCATCTGTATAGCCAAAACTTTGACGTTTGTGACAATAATAACCACTTTTGGAGAAATACCAATAATAGCAAGAATTTTGAAAGTTTGATGACAATAATAGCCATTTCCGTTACATAATTTAACGGCGTCAGTGACACCATTATTCAAATTAACGGAATGTTGAACTGGCTGCCAACTAACACTCTATTTTGTTTCCACCTCAGCATTCACTGACAGATGGACGACACATCATTTACAACATAAAAAAATTCTCCTATCCCGAATCTTCTCGAACCCTCTTCTTCTCCTCCAGCAATCCACCGCCCCTCCTCCCATCGTCAATCACCATTAATCTGGAAAAATAAAATAATTAATCCTTTCCAAAACCAAACAAAAATCCCAATCAGAGTGCCGAAGGAGGCTTCGTTTCCAAGACCAAACAAAAATCCAAATCTCCACCCATCAATCTCACTCTCTTTTGATGTCGTCTGTTGGAGTTGTACTCTCCGTAGAGGAAGATGGCGGCCAAATGGCGGAGATAGATGGTGAGCAGCGCAGCGGGGATAGATCGACGACGCCTAGATGCAGGCGGAGATAGATGGTGTTTCTGGTGTTCTGCATCTCCGCTTTCTTCCTCGTATAGACTCTGTAACGGAGGCAGAAGTTCAAGATGCAGGATTCAAAAGACGCATTCGCTTTCTTCTCCATTTTCTCTTACCTCGCAGTTGTTGCAGCAGTAGCTTCTAGATCTTCTTTTTCTTCCGCCGTTGCCGCTTCTCCATTTCTCCATTCCATGTTCCCAGAGTGCGACGAAACTTGGAGCGAATGGTGGCGGCACCACCAAATCTAGAGTCGGAATCGAGGTTGCGGCGGATGCTTGAAAACCATATCAGTCTCTGTCGCTGGTGGCCCCTTCTCTCCTCGGCGATTGAGCCTCAAAAATAACAATCGAAAGCAAATACCCAAACAAGATGATTTGAAACACGGATACATAAATCAGAAGAAAACGAAACAAAATCCATAAGTAAATCCTGCCTGCACTACGGGAAAAGTGGCTTTACGCAACACTCATCATGCAACACTTTCAAAAAGTGTCACATAAAATAAATATAGACAACACTTTCATTTTATGTCGCCTAATATATATCTTATGCAACACAAATTAGGAGCACAATAATTTTTGTTATATATTCGTATAATATGTGACACTTGTACAATAAAATAATTTGTGTTACATATTCTTATATTTTAAGCAACACTTAATAAAAAATGTTACATATGGTATCGATTTGATACTTATTATTAACTAATATTTTGATATCAATCTCGTATATCAATTTCAAACAAACTAGAACTCTCATTACAAAATTTTATAATGCAAACGAAAAATAATAATTAAAGATAGCTTGCTCAAACTAATTCACGAAGGCGGGACAAATAAAGAAAGTTAAAAGTTTTGAGTTTTCGGAAATTTTTTCTCCGTCAATTAAAAGGTAGGGTATGGGTTATTTTCTATTGAGAACGAAAAGGCTTAGGGTTTATTTTTGTGTTAGCGCTTAAACCTCCGGCCCCTTTGCCAATCGCATAACGAGAGTGGCGATGTGAAGAGACGACGACAAGTTAGTCAATTTCGATTCCATGTCTTTCGTCATCGTCGTCAGGCCCTCTAATGTTTCTTCTTTTGCTATTCTCTATGTACTCTCTTTTAATTGTATTTGGTCTGTATTTTTGGTGAACCCAGGTGTATATAGAGATGAGAAATCATAACAGCGTGTAATTGAAGTTTAGGGATGAAAATGGAGTTGTTTTCTGGATGAACCTTGAAAAGATTTACTGGGTGCCCCAAGATCCTAGGAGGTAAAATTTTATTTGTTCTACTTATCTAATTATGTTTGACATGTCTCGTTGGTTCTAATTAGTGTTTTCCTTCCATCCATCATTGTTAATAATTGGCAGTCCCAAACTCCCAGTTTTCAATTCCATACATCTATTCTCCACCAGGTTGCTACTTGGAATCTGGTAAAGATGGAAGAAACCTCTTTAGATGTAAACTTTAATCTATTTGGAAGAGGTGAATTGAGTATGGTTAATAATTAGTGGCTCATACGTTCTACAGGCTTTGTTTTCCATAGGCAATTACTTGTCCTTAATTTTATGAAATTAGTTCATTGTATTTATCAGAAGTGTTAATTAGACATTGTTATAAATCAATCAATTTCAGGGATTTATACAAGGGACTGCATCTGCTCTTCTTTTATGGCTGATGGCTTTGGAAGTCAGGGTCAATGACAACATACTTGCGAGGAGGAGGTCACCCTTGCTAGACTCTATTGATCAGGAATGAGTTTGTATGAAGCTCACCTTGAATCCGACACAAGAAATGGCATCAGATGAGAGACAAGATGAAGTTTGGCTGGTGCTAATTCTACCCCACACCACATTGTGTCCCTTCCAACTCAAAAGCATGATTTCTTATGGATGAAGATATCATAAGCAGGACCTGGTCTTCATCAAATCTGTGATTGATTATGAATCACAACTATAGGAAAAGTTAATCTACGTACGGTTAATCTTGGCATATTCATTGTTTATTTTGTTTTTGTTTTCTCATATTGGTTTTGCAAAGTAAATATGGGAGGAATGGAAATATGAAGTATATGATGTGTATGTTTTTTTAGTGTAGTTCTTGGTCAATGGTCTGAGCGGTATATATGACAATATTGTGGTCACAAATAATAGTAACTATTTGTGATAACTCAAGTCCTCTTTATTGTAATAAATATACTATATTCAAAAGCATAATATTTGTGTAAAAAAAGAGTTCATCATTAATGTTGTTGCAATAGTAACAATATCTTTGTCACAGAAGCATGATATTGTGACTACAATACCATCACAAAACCCTATTTTGTGACAAAATACAGGATGAAAATGGCACATTTGTGACAATTAAAGTGGCAGCCGTTGAAATACATCGATGTCCACATGAAGTCATCACAAATGTATAATATTTGTTACAAAAGTATATTGTCACGATTGGGTACATCTTATATGACGATCAAACTCGTCACTAATAAAGTATATAAATGTCGGTTATACTCGTAAAAATGTGTTGCGTAATTTATTTAAGTGTTGTCTAAAATAGTGTTGTATAAGCGGTATATATATACAACACTTATTTTTTTGTTACCAAAAGTAAGAAAAATGTTACCTATTACTTTATACAACACCACCTATAGAGGACACTAGTAAAAGTGTTGCATATTACATATGCAACACTTTGAGCACTTTTTACAACACATTTGAAGTGTTGCCAAAAGCCACTTTTCTCGTAGTGCTGGGAAAAGCCATATCCGATCTCGTTTTCCGTCGACGGGGGGTCAGAAGAGAGGAGGGCAAGACAGAGAAGATCTATTGGGGAGGCTTTAACGGAGACATTGGTGTTGTTCAGTGAGGAAGAACTAGGGGAGATGAGTGGGGTGAGCGAGGAACTGTTGACTTTAGTTCCTAGGGATTTCATGAGAGATACGGAGAGGAGAGATTATGGGAAAAAATAAATTAAGATCACATTTTTAATTGACTAACTGTCGTCAACTCAGAAATGTCGTTAGTCCAGTCAGCCAGTTACTTGACACCGTAAAACAATTGGACGGAAGTGATTATTTTTGGTATTTCGCCAAACGTGGCTATATTTGGCCAAACCGTCAAAGTTTTGGCTATACAAATGTATTTTGCCCATTTTTAAATAGACGATCAGATTAGATGTTGGATGATTTTGGAACAAAAATTATACCATACCTGATTACTATCCTTAAACAAATAAATTTCTATATATTTTATCAAAACCCTATTTCTCCGTTTTTCCCTGCCTTCACACTCGCGAGCGCTCCCAAATCTCCACCTCTCTCCCTCTCCCTGCCATGTTCCGTCGCCTCTCCCTTTGCTTTCACAGCTAAATCCGACTCCAATTCTATGGTGGAAAAGGAAGATCGACGAAATTGGGAGATGTGAAAGAAGCCACCGCCGGCCAAGTAGCAGTCTCCCTCCTCTCCCTTGCATAGTTGCATGCTCTCTCTCCGGTCTAGAGATGGAGACGGCTGGGTAAGGTTACTTTTTTGGCCAACATAAGAACTAAGAAGAAGAAGAAAGTCCAAAATGGGAATGGTAGTCATTCAATTGCTTTGGTTTATATGAAATGTCACGTATAGTTTATTTTTTTTATAATGGTATTGATTTATTTTTATAATGGTATTGGTTTGATTTTACAGTAGTACTGGTATTATTATTATTATTTTATAATGGTATTGATTTATTTCTACAATGGTACTGGTATTTTTCAAAGTGGTAGTGATTGTTCATTGGATTGGTATTGATTTGTAATTTTATTTTTGCAGTGGTATTATTGTTTTTTATAGTGGTTATTTTGGTATTTTTTTTAGATATAAATTGTTTATATTGGTAGTTTTCGTGTAATGGTATTGATTTATATCTGCAATGGTATTGGTTTTTCAAAGTGGTAGTGTTGTCTAATGGATTGTAATGATTTCGTGTTTTTTTTCTTTTGCAGAAAAATTGAGAAAAATAAGGAAAGAATATATGACTGGAGATTACGGAAGTGTGAGAAAGAGAGAGAATTGTAATTAATATTTTTTTTGTAAATATCTAAAATATAATTAAAAAAAATAATTAATACAATTTATTTTTTCATACTCAATTTACTCTTAGTAACCATGGTGAAAGTAGTAATCACCGTAACCGCTGCGGTTTTCTTGTCATGTTGTGTCAGTTTATTTTTTAAAGTTTGCTCGGTTGGTCTTGAATATGGCTTTAACATTGTTGTGTTTATTCGGACTTGTGTTCATATTTGTGCTTAATGTAAGGAAAACTTAACATACACGTACCTCTCGTTCAAACCATGCCACAAGCTCCTAGAGAACCTCATGATCTGTAGCATTATTATTATGGAAAACTTAAGGGACCTTGCTAGCAAGATCGTCAAACCAGCATGACAGTTTCGCAGGTGGAATGGTTTTATCGTGGTATAACGAATATCGGTCTTTAATTTCGTTTATTTGTTAATGTCCGGCGTAATTAAGTACGACTTCAGAAATTGGTCTGGCGAGCTGCCAACATTTTAGTTACAGATTCTCATCAGATTGGGAATTTATAAATGTAGTCCTGCGCGGTCCGGCGGCCACAGCCCGATTCAATTAATGTCAACATGCATGAACGATGTCAACGTACATTAATATATATATATATATATATGTATGGGGCTTTTTTTTCTAGCTACGAGAGAATATTAGTTGAGAAGATTGATTGATTGATGATGAGGAGAATAGTTTGGTGGGCTCTTTATTCTCGATCGGGCCTGTGATTCCATCATCCAATGTAAAGAAGTGATATTAATTAAATTTATACAGTGACACCAATAATTGAAATTGCTCGATCGGAGAAGAGTATGTATATTATATATACCAGCTTGGATTTTTTGTTATATAAGGAACCTGCAAATATGAGGATTTAGTGTCTATTGATTGATTAAGAAGTCGAGAAATAAAATCGAATTTGGAAGTTTCACTATTAGAATGCTCTTGATGTATTGACAAATTAGGCTTGCACTTCCTTTAGGTATTGGATAACATTGTCCCTAACAAGCCAACCAAACCAATACTGACCATAGAACATCTAATTATCTGGCCATGTTACAAAATGTCGTTTGGTTTGCCGGAAAAAAGGATATCTTTATGCAATATGCATGGTCGGGGAATGAACTTATATCAGCCACACAAATTTATATTATAGAGCTTGTGGTTTGCCAGGTAGAAAGCAACAATTAACTAATATTCTGTTTTAAACAAAGCTAAACATCCTACTAAATCCACTCATTATCAAAGTGTTTTAGCATATAAAATTCAACCCTTTCTAAGATCACTCTCTACCAAATTAGGAAAGCTTGAAATTCACTCAACAAAGAAGAAAAGTTAAAAATAAAAGAAAGCTTCAACTACCAAAAATGCCCACTTGGAGTTGTCTTAGTTTGACCAAGGAACTTTCCTCTCTCTCTCTCTCTCTCTCTCCAGCTTCTGCTATAAATACCCCAAAAACC